TATATATTTGTAACAAGTGTTAATACTGTATTCAGTTTAATGTAAATATATATTAATATATAGTCTATAGTTATATATGTGCATAAATATATATCTATATATGTGTGCACATGCATTTGTACACCAATGTGTCTGTGTATATGTACCATATATATAACATATAATAATAGTGGCCTGTATATTTAATGTTAAAGAACAACAACAGCCCTGACGTGTGAGTTCTAGTTCATTACTCTGTCTCTGCTTCTAACCCAGGGTTAAAGGGACGCAGCTGGAGACAGATTCCAGCGGAGGTCACACAGAGGTAGAGGTAGATATTGTTCGTCTGTGTCGGTGGCCCGTCACACAGTCACACAAACAGACAAACGAATCATTCCACACCACGGTCTCACTCACCGACTGTCAAAAATGTCCATGTGACAGTTCGCTGCTCTCTCCCCGCTCCTCAGAGCCCTCAGAACCAGCGCCACAGTGAGACTGGACCAGGTCACAGCAGCCCCCAGGACCCCTCCGGTTCCTGTGAGAGACGGCGACACAGACACAGTCGGTGCCATTTGATGGAGATGTGAGGTCGGCGGTCCCTGCGAGGATGACACCGCTGCTCCACTGCCATTTCATGATGCCCTCGTTTGACCTTTTCATTGAGTCAAACCAAAGGAAATCCATGTCCATGACCTTTGTGGTGCATCCCTCCATCCTGGCACGAGGAAAAAGAAAGAGGGGAGATTTGCTGATTGGGACTGAAAAGGGCAGGCATGTGTGCACACAGGACGCCCGACCCTTGAACTCTAACCTTTAACAGGTATCATGAGGGGAAAGAGCTGATTGGAAATCAAATATGTGAGCAGTTAATTTTGGTTGAGTGGTCAATGAAGAAGGGGGTCGGAGGGGTGACACTCATCAGGGTGGTCAGGAGAAGAGTCTATCAGCGTACGGAGCAGTTACGTGTCCTAACTGATGTTTTTACATTAGTAGTGGAAAAGTTACAGGAGCAACTGATCAAAATTTCTTTGAGTATGCTGTTTTCTGCTATTTTTTTTAACAGAGCCTTGCAAAAATACAATTTAAAAATCAAGAATCAAAAAAACATTTGAAAATACAGTGTCTGTCATTTTGGCTTTCTCTGGTTTTATAAAAAGGGGTATGAGGTTAACTTCAGTAACTTCAGATTTCCACCATGGACAAGGGTTACTTCATTTTTCTTAAGTAACTTCAGATTTCCACCATGGACAAAAATGTTGAAAAAAGTTTTAAATCACATTTGTGGTTGCAGAAAAACACCTAACTCAAAAAAAAATCAGGGTAATAATGAAACAATAACTTTAAAAAAAAAATCAGGGTAATAATGAAACAGTCTTTGAAAGCTAACTGCTAACCCGTTCACGTGTTCATTTGAACTTC